AGTGCCCCGGAGCAGGACGCCTCCTCCTTGCCCCAGCCCCAGCTCCCCCCATCCCCGACCCCCCGGTCTGCGTGGAGGTCAGCGAGTCGGGGCTCCGCGCCAGCTCGGGAAACTTTACGAACCTGCCCGGGGTCGCAGGGCAGCAGCGGTGGCAGCGAGGGTTCCCAGCGAACAGAGCTCCGGCGACCTGCGACCATTGAAGGGGGCCCGGAGGCTCTGTCGCTCTGCTCGGGGCCGCGGCGGCGTGGGTGGTCCGACTATCCCGCGCCCATCCTCGCCCGCCAGCGCTTGCCCGAGCACACGCACTTACACTCCGGGTCCGCAGGCTGCTGCTCCGCCGGCCGCCGCTGCTCTCACTTCCTCTTCCTTCCTCCTGCTGGCCAGAGACACATTTTGCATCTGCAAGGCATCCCGAGATCAGCCGCGAACTCTCCTCCCGAGCGGACGCTGCGGAGGGACCGCCGCCGCCCCCGGCACCTGCGCCTGGACACGCGCGGTGGGCGCGTTCGCCTCCCGCCTGCGCCCTGGTGCCAGCCCACAGTACTTTGCCTGGGGCGGGGGGGAGGGGGGGAGTGCCCACGACTTTTTGAAGTCCCCTTACTTAAAAAGAAGAAAATGTCCAACACCGCGCACGTCTCAGATCTGCCATCAATAATATGTGTGCAGAGCAGGGCCTCTCGGATGAGCTCACAAGCGGCGTTTTACAGGCACTAATTAACTCCCTGAGAGCGCCACCTTAAGGAGGCCGAGAACGCGTGGCATCTTTTTACGTACCTTAATTTTTTTTCAACTGGTTTGGAACTTTGAGGGGAAACTTCGGTGGGTTGTGTTAATGCTACTTTAAGAGGCCGATGCGTTTGTTTTGACGTTCCACCCCTACCCTTGGGCAGCACGGCAAAAATAACTACAGAAACCCTTCCTTCTCCTAACCCTTACGTAGGCATTTACAGGCTACAAGATTTATTGCTCGTCAATTAAGCCAGGGCCTCCCTAAGTTTGCATAAAACAGGATGTTCCACCCCCAAATCGGCATTTAGAGTACATTCTTTAATTCATGCAACCTACCTCACTCATTTTCAAAGCAGAAATCAAATACGTCTTTTCCCAGCACAGCTGCCAAGAGGGAAATGACAGTTGTTGGAAGGTTGCAGGAGAAACACATGTCCTCTCCAAATTCAGAAATACTTACATAGGCTCTCCCAGAATAGGCAAAAGCAGCCACCGAGCATTCCCTACAAATTGGCAAACCAGGTACGTTGTGGGCAGGGAGGCCTTAGACTCAAAGGTGGAAGGCAGAGCTCCTCTTTAAATTTCCAGCCCCACCCCCAGGAGATTTAAATTGTAATTCTGTGCTGGCTGTTCATTAGCAGCCCAGCGCTCCAAACAGCTATTGCACACTTGAAATGTGGCTAGTCTTGAGATGTTCAGTAAGTGGAAAATAGACAAGGGACTTAGTGTGAAACACAGAATGTAAAATAGCTTGTTTGTGAGTTTAGTGTTGATGACATCATCTCAGCTAACGATAATAGTTTAGATGCAACTGGGTTAAAATACACATTTATACAGTATATATGCAACTTATAGTTTCACTGGCTTATTTTTACTTTTTTTTTAAGATTTTATTGGGGATTGGGGGAAGGGGAACAGACAAGTTGCTGTTCTTTTGTTCTTCAGTCTAGTTGTGGAGGACGTCCCTTCACTGGCCTATGTTGGTATTGTGATCATTGCGCTCTTCCCAGGTGAGGCAGATCGGTTGCTGGCCACTGGACTGCTGCTCACGGTGGCTCACAGCAGCTCACGAAAGCTGACGCCCGCTGCCTGCCAGCCCCACTGCAGCCTATGCCATCGCCGGCGACTCACGGCAGCCCAGCTCCCGGTGGAGCTGTTGTTCACCATGTTAGCTGTAGAGGGTGCAGCATCACTGGTCCTTATGTGGGATTCGAACCGGGGACCTGCTGCTCAGAGCTGGCATCCCAAGCCAACTCCTAACCAATGTGCCACTCGGCCGGCCCTTTTACATTTTTAATGTGGCTACTGAAAGAAGATTACACGTATGGCTCTCATTAGTGGCTCACATTACACTTCTAATGAACAGCCCTGATCTGACCCCTTATTATATGCATAACCTTGGGAGGAAGTGTTAGTAGCAGGAATACTTGTGTCCAGATCATTATAAGCCAGTAACAAAGCAGGATGACTCCAGGAAAGTCCTTTAACTTCTCTATTTTCTCATCTATAAAAAAGTAATGATATAATAATAACAGCCAACAGGGCAACTATCAAATGAGATAATTTAATAAGCAGTCAGTAAAAGGAGCTTTTGCTAGTGATGCTGTGAGATGCTTGTAGTGGTTACTACAAATTTGATCCACAACTTTCTAGCCAAGGTATATAAAGACCTTAACTCCAGTGCAGACATTGTAGCAGTCAGTAAATATTAGCTGTCATAATTGTCCCAAGAGTAGTTAGGGGATCCTGTGTCCCCCTCCTTGCACAGCAATGAGATAAAGCCACCTCCCTGTCACCTTTGCTCTCAGCTCTGCCCTCTGCAGCCAATACAGAGTCTAAGTCACATCCTTCCTCCGAGAGATAACCATTCATATTTTTGAAGATAGCCCTTGAGTTCTATCTAAGCATTCTCTTCTGAGAATTAAACTCTCAGTTACTCTAATTCCTCCTCATGTGATATGGCTTCAAATATCTCTCCTCTTAGCCATCTTCCCCTTCAAGGACACTTGTCTCTGCCCTTTCAAAAATTTTAGTTGTCATATAAATTAATTAACCAATTAATACAATCAGTTAGCCTCAGTTTTTGTCAATACAGCCTTCAGCTCTTGTCAATTATTTTTTCAAATACGTCTCCCTGTTGATTTCAGTGCAAGGGGAAGACAGTAAACTTGTTATGTTACTGTTAGGCCATATCCACGCTTATGGGGTTGGTCTTTGGGACTAAAGCCCATGGTCCACCTTCTCTGAGGCTCTTTGGATTCGATTCAGGCAGTCAGTGTCTCCCCATAGCCACAGATTAGGTAAGAGCACTAGGGTCCTGGCTGACGCCCCACTAAGGGGTTGCCTCCACCATGGTAGGGGTCCATATTCTTTGCATTCACTGGTTTATTCAGTTACTAATAACCCTCTTAATTGTGCAGTTGACAAGCCATATTTTTCTACTGTATTCATAAAGATACCTTAGAGATCTCAAATGCCTTAGAGAAATCCACCTTCACCCTGGGCTCAGCTGGTCCTCTGCAGTGGTCACAGCAGAGAGGCGTGGTCACGTGTAAGGTCCCCATCTCTGACCTTGATTGTTGAGTATAGATCCCAGCATCACCATTTACTCACCAGCTGCATCACCCTATGCAGGTGACTTAACTCACGGCCTTAAAACCATACCTACCTGGGAGGGCTGAGCAAGCATTAAATGAGTTAATATATGTAAAATTCTTAGAACAGGGCCTGGTATATAGAAGCACTCAGTAAATGTTAGTTTGGCTATTATAATCCACACGGGTCCTCTAATCAACAAGTCATGGTAACAGAGTCCAGAAAAAGCACTGCCCCCTCCTTTTCCCCACACATGTGTTTGCAGCCATAGGGGAGGGAAAGAGCTAGTATTACTGCTCGAATTTCATGTCAGCTCCTGGTCAGGGCTGGAGTCCTTCAATCATTAGGTCAGACTGGAGTAGAGAGGAAGGTCATTTGAGGGTCAGGGTCAGAATCCAAGTGCAACCCTTCACTAGCACCTGCAGTAAGCCCAGGTAAGCAAGGCTTAGCCTCTGCAGATGGGCCCACCTCATCTATTAATACATCAAAAGTGTGAAGGAGGTGGATTCAGGATGTCCTCTGCAGGAACACCCATCTCCGTTTCAGGATGGGCTGGAGAAAAGGAAGCAGGCGGAGGATAGCTGGCTAGAGAACAAACCTCACGGAAGCCCTAAGTCTAAACTGCTTTCCCCAGCTATGCTTACCAGACATCTTTGCCTTGTTGATGGACGGACAGGTGTTTGGGGGAATTTCCCAGCTTTTAATACCTTGATCCTGTGTTTCCCATATCTTTACCCTCCTCACATGTACAGAATCCAAGGTGGGGGGGGTGGGGGATAGTGGAAGGTTATCAAAATGTCACCATGAAACTCCAAACTGCAAAAATGGCCTGTTGTTTTTTAATCAATGATTCATGTTGCTCTACTTTTCTGAGTGTTCACAAATATTCGTTTCTAATTCATTAAAAAGAACACTTATTGAACTCCCAATGGGCCCTGTGCATTTAATAATGCATTTAGTAATTTGCTTCAGAATTCTGCCCCAATCAGCCTCAACTTCCTTGATCTATTAGAGCTTGAAGAGTCTGTTCTTTTTTCCTGTCTTAGAGTCGGGCTCATATTGGCTCGACTCCAGACTTCAAACAGCTGTGGGGGCAGAGTGGCCTTCCCAAAGTTGCTGTGTCAGAGATGACAAGGGCTGGGCAGCCAGCAGGCATCAGAGTGACAAGGGGGTCTGCTGTGTGAGGGCACTCCTTCTGTCAATCATTCATTCACTCAGTGTGCACTGAAAGTCTTAAATGTACGCTACTGTGAAAGGAAACGGAGGCTACAATGAAGAGTATGAGAAACACCGGGAGCCCCCTATAGGCACTTGTCTTCTAGTTAGGAAGACTTCAGGGAGTATCCCTAACATCAGGAAGCTGCAGGACGCTATGGGGGCAGGGATGCTAACATCACCTGTATAAGCTTCTTGGGGAAGTGCTTGAGTTGAGACCTAAGGTGAGTGAGTGTGTGTGCTAGCCAGGACACAGAGCGGGAAAGGATGTGGGTTGGGTAATGGGGAAGGGTTCCAGGCAAAAAAAAAAAAAAAAAGCGGGTTGTATGAAGGTCTGTAGAAGTCATAGTGTAGGAGGAACCTTAAAAGTTCAATTTGGCTAAAGAATGAGAATACCAAAATTGAATTTAAGAGCAGTGGGCAGACGCCAAAAATTGGAAGCCTTTGAGTGTCAGATCGTGGAATTTGGGTATATGAAGGATAATGGGAAGGCCCTGAAAACAGTTTGCTTTTTGTTTTGCTTTGTTTTGTTTTTCCAAGTGAAATATTTAAGCAAGAGATTGCCATGACCACTTTTGTCTTTTTTTTTTTTAAAGGTTCATCCTACTAAATAGAGAATGGATTGAAGGGGAGACAAAAATGCACGTGGGAAGTACAAACAGTAAGTGACTGCAGTAAGCCAAAGCTAGAGAGGATGGGAGCCCAACCGAGGGAGCTGGGGAGAACTGGGAAAACTGAAATGTTCAAAGGAGGCAGAGGGTGCCTAGAATCAAAGGTTTGCTCATCCTAGTTGAGGGGGCTCATAAACAAGCCATTTGCTTTCACCTTGCCGCCTCGGCCTAACCAAACACTGAACCTGGGTGGCCTTCTTGTAGCATTGTGTCCAATAGGCTACCACCTGCAACACTTGCCCCCAGGGCAAGGAATGAAGGCAATGACGCCACTCTTATTTGGCTGATGATCATTTCTGGGACACCATTATGTTTAATTCAGCTCCAACATGCCCGCATTTCATAGTCATTATATTGTTGTTCAGAACATCCACCCAAAAATGTAAACTTGACTCTGTACCAGTCCCCTTCTGCTCTAGTCATCCCACCCTACTTTTAAACAGAAATTATCCCTGTGGACTGCAAGGTCACCTGTGAACCACATGTACTCCTCTGTTTGGATTTTGGTTTGGTAGGGAACTTATCAAGGCTTCTCAGATCTATAGCCACAGTTAACCACCCATAGCTCA